ACTTGTGCTAACCTTGGACCAGAAGACAGAGGGAATCAGAATAGCGTGGAGACTTTGTAACAGTTTCCCAGTGCTGTATAACAAATCACCTCAAATTTAGTTTCTTAAAATCACACACATTTATTATCTTACCATTCTATGGGCCAGGAGCCCAGGCATGGCTTAGCTGGGTCCCTGCTCCAGGGTCTCACCAGGCTGCAACCTAGGTGTTGGCCAGGCTGCATTCTCATCTGCAGGTTTGACTCGGGAAAGTTCTGCTTCATTCAGATTGTCAGCAGAATGTGGTCTATTGTGATAGCAGGACCATAGCCCTCAGCTCCCAAAGGCTGCCTATGTTTTCTTGACAGGTGGTCTTTCCATATATAGCTCATGACATGTTGTCAGGCCAGGAAGAGAGCAAGAGGGACTTGAGAGCCAGAGCCATAGATAACACCAACATTAGCACCAGGGTGGTATCCCAAGCTCATAGCAGCATTTTTTTTTTTTTTGCTAGAAGCCAGTCGTTGGTCCCCCACTACACACAGAGGAGGAATTAGACAGGGGTGTAATCAACAAAAGGTGAGCCCATTGGAAGTAACCTTAGCGTTTGTCTGGCATACCGTATAACAGTGAAGCATATTGGGAATTTGAGATTTTATCCAAAGGCAATAATGAAAAAACATTCAAAAAAGATATTGAGTGGAGAATAAGCAGCAGAATTAAGTCTCCACACAGAAAACCAACAGAAAATGTAGGGGTCTATTTAAGGTCACAGAGTTAGTTAGGGGCTGAGCCACGGCTAGGGTCTTTGAGAATCACCATGTTCCAAAATACCGCAAGGTCCTCTTCTGTTCCACGATGCCATATTTCTTGCACATACAAGATGATTAACTGTCAAATTTAATAGCACAGCATCAATGTGAAGGATAGAGATATAACAGAGAGACTATTTTGGTGAGCAAATATTTGGACTTGGTCTTACATAAAATCTAAAACAAATTCTGAGTTTAATTTTTTCCCTTTACAACGTTTACGTGTATGGGATAGTTCTTTAGAAAGAGTTATTCTCGGCAATTTAGCAAGACCCTCAGCAACATAGCAAGATCCTGTTTCAAAATGAAAAATAAAAAGGGTTTGGGGATGTCGATCAATGGTAGAGCACCTCTGGATTCAATCCTCCATACCACCCAAAATAGAAAAGAAAAAGAAAAAATTATTTCAATGCACCAGATACTTCATTCAGAAAGAAGAACTTGGAATTTACTTACTTTTCACCTCAGTTGCTAGAATGTCTGGGTCTACAACATCTTTCATGCTGTGGGAAAAATGCAATTAGCTACAAAGTTTCTGGAGTGAAACAGCAAATGTTTTGCTGTATTTTAAGATTTGCAGTGTTCTGCTGGTGCACTAGAACCATTTGTTAAGTTTTCAGGAATTTTGTAAACCAAGTTATTAAGCCATTGGCAGCTTGAAATCAACTATGGTCGGAATATTTACACTGCAGAAATTAGCAAGTGTTGCAGATCAATCCTTTCCTTTTTCTTCAAGATTATTGTCAAACTTTGCTAGTATATTACTGCCTTGAGAAATTCAAACTTTCAACCCTAACATCACTACACTAAAATATAGTCAGAGAATCGCACAAATATTTACATATAAGCAAGTTCTCAGTAAAAAGAAAAAACAACCAAGAAAGGTGGAAATAATATAAGTATCCAAAAAGAAGCACATTAAATGAACTCTTATTCGGCCACTAAAATCATATTTTTAAATCTATTTGATGACATGAAAAAAATTTTCAGGATATAAAGAAATGTCAGAATATAAAACCCCATGCATATTATAAAAGGAATATTTGTGGTTAAGTAATATGTATAGAAAGAGAAAATTTAAAAACTAAATGGAGTCAGGTGTGGTGGTGCACACCTGTAATCCCAGATGCTGGGGAGGCTGAGGCAGGAGGATCGAAAGTTCAAAGCCAGACTCAGCAAAAGCAAGGCACCAAGCAACTCAGTGAGACCCAGTCTCTAAATAAAATACAAAATAGGGATGGGGATGCGGCTCAGTGGTCAAGTGCCCCTTTATTCAATCTCTGGTACAAAAAAAAAAAAAAGAAAAAAAAACTAAATGGTATTGGTGGTATCTTTGAATGATAACAGGTGGCTTTTATTTTCTTCATTATATCTTTGTGTATCTTCCAAATATTCCATAGTAAACATGCCATTTATAGCCAGGTAAAAGTATTTATATATTCTATAAAGAAGGAAATAAGAAAAATCAGAAGAAACTAGAAAACTGCCCCGCTCCCTATGACGTTTGCTGTATCAAATTGACACTTAACAATCAGGGGCAGGCTACACACTTTCTACATCGAAGGCATAAGAAGATAGTTCCTCTGGGGTGGGTTGGTTCTGTGCATTTTTAGTTCCCTGGACTATTCAGGATATGGCCTGTTTTCAGAACCGTGGATAGATAGAATTGCACTTCTGAACCCAAATCCATAAAAGCAGTGAATTAAGCACCTAATTTAGTCTCCACTTAACATTCCTTTCCAGGCCTCTCCCTCAGGGAGGAACCTCATGTTTTCAAGCAGAGGGACTTTCACTGGGATGACACTCTGGCCCTTACCTCCCTCTCGGGTCCACAGCAGCCATGACTTATCTGATCAGTTATGGAGGTTCCTTGGGAACCAGCCTGACCAGAGGATACTGCCTTCTAGTGTGCTCTCTGCCATGGTGGACGGCCACTCCCCACTCCTGTATCACAGAGGATGCCTGCAGTTGACTAGCTGTGCCATTGACTGGAGGTAACTGCTGATCTCCCTGCTAAAAAGGCAAACCCATTTGGCCCCGAATCTAACCCATAGGCTCCAATCAACTTTATTAGTAACCAGGGTCATCTGATCTCCCCCTCTCCAGCATCTAACACATCACCCCAAATTTGGAAGGAAAAGTATTTATATATTCCCATCAGTTTGCCATTGCTGTTGTATTGTTTTGTTTTTACAGAATGGAAATTGCCAAAGATAAGGATCAGGTCTTATACTCCCATTTCCATATCACTAGCCCTCAGAAGTGCTGCTCAGAAAGCTGGGAGTAGAAGGCAGAGAAAGCTGGAAAACTGATACAGAATGGAATCTCTTTACCTGTGTCCTCTTCCTCTTATTTCTTACTGAATGCAGTGAGAGAGGGACCTTTTCTCAGGCAGATTTGGCCAATTCTCCCCATCCTTGGTTTAATGGATGGCACAGCATTTGTGGCTTAAATAATTTATAGTGATCCGTGAGAACTAACACAAGGTGAAATGGGGTCTCATCTGAGAAAAATCCTTAGTAATGGCAGACGGGGGAGAGGTTTGGTCATCAGCTCTTAATTACATTCTGTCTTCTCTTGGCTCTCTCTTGCCTTCCCTCTCTCTCTCTCTCTCTCTCTCTCTCTCTCTCTCTCTCTCTCTCTCCTTTAACACATATTTTAATAAAGCGAGCATTTTTAAACTGGGGCCATCTCTCAGTACTCAGTGTTAACTTTCCATTGCCTTGGCTGGAGCCCCCTGACTCACTCCTGAATGACATAACACCATTTCTTCCTTCCCATCAATTGGCACCAATTAGACACCTTCTAGGTAGAGAAATAATTTGCTTAACTGCATAAGAAAATGGCCACTTCAAGCCCTTTAAGAATTTTGGTTCTCAATTATCCAGCCTCACTTCTCCTGTGAAGCGATAATTAGAGTCTAGATGATAACTGGATTACCAAGGACATCTCTCCTGACAGTCGTTTAACACCTAATCAAGTGTTAAGGTCGTAAATTATGCATTTCTCAACAGCATTCAGACCCATTTGAAAACAATTTGAAACAGTTCAAGAGTTCCTAGATGGTCTTCAGTTTTCCAGGGCTGTGAAGGGTCCTGCTTAAAGGAATTACCCGCTTAGAAGAATTACCCGGTTAAAGGAATCACCCACTTAACAGACTCCAAGCGTAAGTCTCTCTCGGCTCTTTAATTGGCTACAGTTCATTATTTTTTAAAACTGACAATTGAGTACCCTCCCACTACCTAAGAGAAACTGGAGTGTTTCTCACAGTGTCCAGGTGCCTCCCCAGGGAGCTCGAATAAAAAAATTCTAGAGAGAATTTGAAAGGGAGAAAAATGTGGGGGTGGGAGGGGGTTAAAAAAAAGACTTTGTTTTTCTAAAAACTTGTTCAAAACTCAAATCCAAACATTAAAAGTTTGATATTGAGGATACAGACTGTGTTTCTTATTTCTGATTCAAGGGGAGACGATATTTGTCAAGTACATAGTGATGGAGGACGTGGGGAAAGGATGAATGGGAACGAGAGGATGCATGCCTTTCTCTGCGCCATCACTCTTCTGATGACATGGTCCCTCTTAGCACAGTTAAACCTCCACTGTCACCACCTCCAGTCTCAGGTCTGCAGCTCCACCAGTGACCTGAGCAAAAGCCCATGTTCAAAAAAAGCAGCAGTCACTATAGTCTTAAGAGTTTGCAATAAAACTTGCCTATTAATCAGTCTGTTGGTCCTTCTGCCTTCCCTTCTGGTCCTCCTGGGCAGGAGTGGGATGTTTTAATGGACTGGGCATCATACACATGTAGAATAACACATCTCTTACTCCCCTTTGATAACAACAGCATCGGTTCTATCCACGTCTGAGAATCTTTTACATGCTTCATCTTCTTGGAGGAAGAAATGATAAATTTGGAAGCATAGATTATATAATTGTACCAAGATAAAGCTCAATCTTCAGTCCAGCGCAACTCAATTAGAATTTTTTTTTGTAGTTGTAGATGGACAAAATGCCTTTATTTTATTTGTTTATTTTTATGTGGTGCTGAGGATTGAACCCAGTGCCTCACACATGCTAGGCAAGCGCTCTGCCACTGAACTACAGCCCCACAACTCAATTAGAATATTTTTACTGCTTAATTAGATCTAAAGAGACCTGCAGAAAAAAAAAAAAAAAAGAAAAGAAAAGGATCTGTCTTCTTGGAGAAATAGGCAAAGTCTGATACACGTAACTTCCTCTCTCTTCTTCCCTACTTGCCTTTCAAAAATGTCCCACAATTCCAAGTAAAGATGACACTCTTCCATCCCTTCTGCTGGACTTCATTCATTGGAACCACCTGAGTTGTTTGTGGGGCAAATGCATTGAACCCCTGGAAAAGAAATATCTTTTATTTTAGTATACTACTTAGGAAAAGAGAGAGAGAAAACACACACATGCGCACGCACACGCACACACACACACACACACACAATTGATGTATGATATATGGAAGACTGTTTTACCTGGGCCAATGTAAAAAGTCTCCTTGTTTAGCTTCCTAACTCAAAATATCCATCATCAGCACTCTCCTGATTAAGATCCTGCCAGGGCAGCCAGTGACTCACTCAGTGAAATCCAAGCACCATTTAAAGACCTTCACAATGAAGCTCCTGCCACCTTTCCAACTTAGGCTCCATCTCCCCTCAAATAAGCCTGCCGCTCCTTCCTCCACTCACCTTTTGCAGACAGATCTGCCCATTGTATCCCTGTCCCTGCTCTCATGTTCCCTCTGCCTCTAGTCTCCCTTTCCTTCTCCTCACAAAGTTCTTGGTCACCCCTCAAGAACGCACTCAGTTTTCACCTCCTCCGTAGATCTTCCCTCTGCAACTAAAGAAAAAAAAATTAAAAATTTAAAACAAAAAAAAAAAAGAGTTGTCCAGCACTTAGATTCACCTCTCACTTTTCGGTTCTTCTAATCTCCTTTGTTATAGTTTTCTATGTATTTCCTTGAGGGATTAAAATTTTCTGTATGCTAGTATCTCTAGCATTCTGCCTCGAACAATGTGTATTTTCTAGAAAGATATTCTAGAAAGAATTTGGGTGTTTTGTTTTGTTTTGTTTTAATTTTAATGAGATTTTAAAACATGCTTCTGAAAACACTTATAGAGGCATTTTTATTTTGTTCAGACCCAAACTTTAAACAATGGACCTCATGGAAAACCACTGTGCTAAAATTCAGAGAAATTCAATACTTGGTCTTACTATCAATTTTCCTCTTTCATTAGTCTTTCACGTGGATTTGTATACGTTTAGATATGTTTTCACTCTCACTCATGTTTGACAGGGGGTCTTTTGCTCTCTGTAATCCCCAGTGGTGTTACCTACACAAAAGGCTTCCCCTTTCCCTGGAGTGTTGACAGAAATAAATCACTTGCAAAGCAGCCACAGGTGATAATGCCCTGAATTTTGAAAGGATTTCTTTTATCAGGATGCTAAAAAGTATATGATAAATCATGATCATTACAGTAGAGTAGTTAACAAAAAATCATTTATTTCAAATAGGAGCAAGATCCCAGCTGACATGCAAGTTAGCTATATGCAGAGCTGGGTCAGTAGATTCCTCACTTAGATTGATAACATTAGAATGGCCAGGCAAAGTCAGGTGTGGTGGCATAGGCCTGTAATCCCAGCAGCTCAGGAGGCTGAGGCAAGAGGATCAAGAGTTCAAAGCCAGCCTCAGCAACAGCAAGGCACTAAGCAATTCAATGAGACCCTGCCTCTAAATAAAATACAGAATAGGACTGGAGATGTGGCTCAGTAGCCAAGCAAGGGGCCCTGAGTTCAATCCTCAGTACCAAAAAATAAAAATAAAAAAAAGAATGGCCAGGCAAGGTCTGAGGTTCCCCACAGACTCCGTCCCTGCTTATTTGGAGGCAGGTTTTGCCTGCCTCAAGGATGCTCTCCAACCACAATTTGGTCATCTCTATGAATGGCCAGTCACCCAGTTTACAGATGTCCTATGGACAGGCAGACTAAGCTCCCCTGGCCGACTTCCACCATGACCTCAGTTACCCAGGCTGGAAGATTCTGTGGCATCTCAAAAGACCCTTTCTCTGTACAACCTAAACATTATCAAGTTGGGTAACAATATAAAGATATCATGACGCAAAGTGTGCCAAGAAATAGAGACATAAAGCAGTAGGGGCCTCATGGAAGGAGGGAAAGAGAATAGCAGATACTAAAGGCAAATCCAAGTATCTATCTAACCGCCGGCTGGTTATCACAGGAGGATTGTCGTTGGATATTAAGATCATATTTTCTCAAGACTGAGACCCTGTTGGCTCCCTCAGCACCCCATGGTCCTGCTCTGGAGGTATAATCCTGACCTCCTGGGAAGGGGACTGGAGATCTGGAAACTTAACAGAGTCTGCCCCATGGATGGTGTGTATGCTATCTGAGTGGTAGATGATACCATTAAATAAGACTAAATCCGATAAGAAAGACTCCCATAAGGTTCCATCACCTTCAGAACCATGTGAGGAGTCCAAGCTGTGTCAGGTTAGTGCTACAGGGTCTTTAACACCTCTTCACACTTGCGAGTTTCCCTTTTGAACAGAGAGAGCAGACCTCCATCAGGCTACTATATGCAACTAGATTTTGAACACCATTGTTTTTGAACATCTCTGATGCTACAGTTATTTCCTACTTGAAACAAGCACTATATCCTATTCATTTCATTATTGTCCTACGAATTTCTTTTCAAAACAAATTTAACATGAAAAGAATGAATCGGTTTAAAGTAAAAATAAAGTAAATGATATTTTGGGCTTATACAGAACATGGCAAAAATCAGAAAGGATGCCCAAAGGTTGGGAAACATCAGTACAAAGATCAGAATATGAAGTGATGAGACTAGAAGAGTAAAATGACCATCTCTGCTCCTTTTCCAGCCCTGTGATCCAGAGCAAATGGCACAACCTCTCTGATCTGTTTTCTCATCTATAAAATCAAAGGGGATAAAGATAATGTGGCCACATCAGACTTCAGGCCAGATCTGCCAAGTAGAAAGGGTGAGGCTAAAAAAAAAAACAGTGGCCTGGCACTCATCACAGAAAGTGGGCATGGCTAGAGCAGGCCGGGCATTTGCCAACTACAATATCTGCACTCTACACCATGAAAGGTATTCATGCATCTCCCCTGCCAAGGTTATAAAGGAAGCCAGTGAGAAGAAGAGGGTACACTCCAGGCTCACGTGTATCTAGACACTTCATGGAATGTGGCTAGATGGGGCTGCCTAGCTGTGGCTGCGAGCATGGCCAGGTGACAACAGCAATAAGGAGCCTGGGAGAAGGAGAGGCTGGGAGGGGTGTGATCCAAGGGGGGCTACTGTGGATAAACGCAATGAGCACAAAATGTTGTCTCTTCTAGCTGTCTCCCCCACTGTTCCCTTTCTCTCTATGGTTCTCCTCCCCCCTCCTCCCTTCCTTCTTTGCATAAATTCACTGCCCACTTACACTACGTCCAGAGCTTTCCTAGGCGTAGGAATGAAATCTATGCATAAAATTTTGTTTCTGAGTTTTTCTTTCACAGGAAAGCTGTTTTCATGTGAAAACAGCCATAGGGACTTTTATCGATTTTTATTTAGAGGGAAGTTTGACAAGGCCAGCTCTGTCTCATCCGATTCCATGTGCATAATGAGACTAAACATCTTTAAAATTTGAGAGATGTGAAGGATTGCCTTAGGAGTGAAATCCCAATCAGACAGACCATAGGCACACACAACATTTGAAAATGCTCAAAGTTGTTACCAATATTTCAAATGTAAGAGTTTGCTTTTGGTTTTTTTTAATGGATTTCCTGTTTCCAAAATTGGAAAATCTGGCAACCCGCATTGGTTGAGTCTGAGTAGAACAGGGTTCTCTGTTTCTAGTCTGTATAGTCCTCACCCCTCCTTGTCATGCCCAGTACCGAAAGCAAGCACAGGTTGCCATGTGTTGTCTTTATCGCCTTTTACTGGAACGATGCTGGCCTTACACTTGACCCTGTGTGCCCATTAGCCTTACCTGCCAGACACCAGAGGCCCTGAGCATGCCCTCTGCAGACCAGATGTTCTCAGCACACCCACAGAGCAAAGGGCCTCCCAGACAGTGCTCATCGCTTTACCTTAAAACATGAGCCTGCACTCTTGTTTGCTGCTGGTAATGCCTGCCCACAGAGAAACAGGGGAGTCGAGTTCTCCTTCAACCCCAGTTTTCCAAACATGTTTGTCCTTTTCCCTGACTACAGGCTTTAGCCTTTGCTAACATCATTATTACCTGTTCTCCCTACCTATCAGGTGCTTTATCTCCTGACATAGTATTTGCCCACAAGGTAAACCTGCTGCCCTCCCAAGAGATAATAATACTTATCAGAATCTTCTGTCGAGTTCCTGGACCTTTAGGGATTGAACCGCACTTTCCACACACGAAGCCCTCCATTATCACCACTATTGTTGTCATTATTATTATTATTTGGGATTAGGCAGCCCTCTCAGAAGTCTTGCCAGCCACAGGCAGGTGCCATCTCAGAGTCTCACCTGGCTCGGTGTGGTGACTTAGGCCGGACGCACCTGGCTGTAGTGCTCTGGTTCAGGCTGCTGCATCCTGGGCTTTTGCCAGAGCAGAAACCGGCTCTGAAACAGTCACTCTTCCTTTGTGCATGGACAGAAGCTGGGGCTCCAGGGTTGAGGTGGGGATTGGGGTGAGCAGGAGGCCTTCCCCAAGGAACCCAGTCCTTGAACATGTTACTATTTTAGCATCTTCCACACCACACAAATGAAGGCTTAGGGTCCCCCTCCCATGACAAGAACCAAACAGAAGTTCCAAAAGTACTATAAGATCCACTTTGGCACAAATGTGTGTAACTTTCCCCTCCCTAATTAAGTAGTAGTAGTAGTAGTAGTAGTAGTAGTAGTAGTAGTAATAGTTATAATAATAATAATAATACTGAAAGCTGGGTTCAAGGAGCATTCCAGTAGTTGATTTAAAGATGCTTTGAGAATTAACACGTTGAACCTGTGCTGACACCTCAGCAATGGGGACAGTCAGGAGTTTCTGGTAGTCCTTAGCTGTACAGACAGGAACCCCAAATTCAGTGCAAGCCCAAGTCAGCTCCTTTAAAACAAAGCCACACAATACAAGAGACCTTAAAGATAGAGGGATCTGGTGTTGGGGCTGAGCTCTTGCCTAGCATATGGGAGGCACTACATAAGAATAAAATAAAGGTATTGTGTCCATCTATAACCCCCCAAAAAATACTTTTAAAAAGTGTGGGGGTGGGAATCTGAAGCCCATTTGGAAAACATGCTGCAGACTCAGGAGAGGCTGTTGAAACTGAATTATAGAATTTTTCTGCTCTTTAAATACAGAAGGGTAATAGGCCTTGGGGGGACTGAGGAAATGGGGCACACAGATATCCCAGGATGTTAGTTCAGATCCCTTTCTAATCACAGCATTGCATCGTCCAATTTCCAAAACATGCCAAAGCTTAGACTAAAGCTCTCTGAATGACTTTGAGAACATGTGGTTACAAACCTGAGGCAGCAGTTCAGTGACTTGAGGGGCTGTCCCACAAGCTAGGCAGCCCCATCTAGCCACATTCCATCTCAACCCACACCTGTACAAGATGTCACCTGGAACTTGTACATGAATTAGCAGAAAAGATAAAGCAGGGCATAATTCATAACTAAATAACATCACATAATTAAAGAATACATTCCCTGGAGCTGACCCTCTTTGAACTGAGATTTCTGAAACCGTGTGCCCCCAAATAAACTTTTCTCCTAAAAAAAAAAAAAAAAAGAATACATTCCCAATGCCTAGCAAGTTCAAGGTACTCAGTAGGAGAGA